AATAGATCAGCAGCTAAAGACAGCTTGTTCCGTAGCCTTTGGAAATGAGGCTAGAAATACAAACGTAATGACATTACAAGGGCATTTAATGCCAAGGAAGAGACAGGCTGTAATTTTGTTGGCAATAGGGAGTTATAGAAGGTTTTTGAGTAAAGCTCTAGAACTTCCAGAAGATTACTTTAGCAAAATTAGCAGGATCCACATGTGCCCAAAGAGTCATACATTTCAAGTCACTTTCATTTGACATGATTGTATTTGGCACTGCCCACTGCCAATGCAGGAAAGGCAAGAGACATGAGTTTGATCCCTGAGTCGGGAAGATCTCCAGAATAGGAAATGGCAACCCACTCCAGTTTTCTTGCCTGGGAAATTCCACAGACAGAGGAGACTGGTGGGCTATGGTCCGTGGGGTCACAATGACTGAGCACACACACACACACACACACACACACACACACACGCTACTGTATATGGCAGAGTTCATACAATGTGTGAACACCAATCACTCAGTTCACACATGAGTAACCCAAACAGTAACTGTGTTACTTTATCATGCTTATTGGCTTAATACAAACATGAAGTCTCAGAGCAAATGAATTATATTATTTCAGTGTCGCCATGATATGAATAGTCTCTGTGAAAGTTACTAGTCCCTGTGAAAGTTATAAGCAAATAAAACTTCTGTTAATGAAAAGTAGCAATGGTAGAAATATACACTGTATGCCTGCCCATTCAGTCATGTCTGACTCTTTGCGATCCTTTGGACTGTAGCCCACCAGGCTCCTCTGTCCATGAGATTTTTCAGGCAAAAATGGAATGGAGTTGGCTGCCATTTCCTCCTCCAGGGGATCTTCCCAACCTAGGGATCAAACCAGAGTCTCCTGTGTCTCCTGCATTCCAAACACATTCTTTACCAGCTGAGCCGTCAGGGAAGCTCCACACATTATATGAACTTCTGCCATATAAAATGAGAACATGAGGCCGCATATGTACTTCCAAAATATCAATTCCTAATATTCAATCTGCATAAAAAAGAAATTAGACATGCCAAAATAATGCCTTACATTCTAGGCCTGAGACTGATTTTTCAAGAGTGTTTTATAATGATGTGGAAAGTTCTCAATTTGCTTGCTTTTAAAAGCATTTTTAATGATTCAGTCATATTAGAATAAACACTCTTATGCTTATTCATAGTTTCAAACAAGTCTCTCTTACTAAATCTACTCAGAAAACAAGTAAGCTTTCAAAAGAGAGACACCGAACTAGAGAAACCTCTGATGTGAACATCATATAATAATCAAACATGGTATAGGAAAAACACTGAGGAATGGGGTTTACTTTGTCATCATGTATGTGAACACCATCTTACAATAGTTATTACTAATTAAGACAAAGAAATGTGTCATTTGTTTGTTGGACTAGGAATTAATGTTAGAGATTTTAAATAAATTGTAACAATCATATCACAAAGTAGAAAGAACAAAAATGTTAACACCTTGCTGTAGTTGCCCTTGATCTTTTTAGAAAAGAATTGACATCCCTTTTGGATTTCTTCCTATCCCCCTCCTTTCTTTTCTCCAAAAGGAAATCACGTTTTTTTTAAAGACAATGAGTCCTTCCTGTTAATAGTACTATATTTCACATGTGTATATCCTTACCCAGTTCCTTCACCTATGAAATTATTCATATGTAAATTATCAAATACTTCATGTAGGTTATTTATGCATTCTGAATATTAATCCTTTGTCAAGTCCATGTCTTGGAAATACTGTCTCCACTTGTCTTTCAACCTTTTATGATGTCTTTTGTCATATATATACAATTTATTTTAATATAATTCAATGTATTTTTTCCTCTATGACTTGCGCATCTCAATGTTTTAAGAAATTGTTCTCTACTCCAAGGTCATAAGGATATTCTCCTATATTTCCTTCTAATATTTTTAAAGTTTTGTTTTTCTTATTTAGGTTTTTAGTCTATCTGAATTTAATTTGTGTATAGAGTAAGTTAGGGACTTAATTTTACTTTTTTCCATAGGAATGTTTGTTTTTAAATGAGAAAAAATAAAGAATTAATCACTCCTTATAATGTGTAAACTCTTCAACATCAGATACCATGTCTGATTTATACTCTTCTCCCCAATACATTGCCTCAATGGTCTTTGAACATTACTAATAGTATGTATCTATATATTCTAGATAAATGAGACTTTTCTCTAGGCACCCCCCCTTGCTTAGAGCATATATAAAGTTGTCCATCTAAAATAAACTTAATTGTGCCTTAATATATCCCCTTTGAGCAGGAAATAACATCTTAATAGGATTAACTTGGTATAAATACTGAATCATTCCAATTAAAATGAAGGGTATTAGAAAATAAATTAAAGGGCACTAGTAACTTTCTAAGTTTGCCCAGTTTTGGAAAGCTTGTCTGGGGGGAGGAAAAATCTACCTACCCTTTCACTGAGACTCATTTTGCTTATTATCAAGGGAAAAGCATAAAAAAGAAGTAGGAGTCTGAATTAAACCTATTTTTAAAAGACATAAAGGCAGCTGCTTATGCAAAATTCATTTGATAAACATACCAGGACGATACCAATTCACAGATTTAGGATCTTAATAAGGCCTAGTTGCACTGGTTTAGTTCTTGCCAAGACTACTTCCTTTCTCTTTTCTTTCATAAAGAAATAGTCTGAAAGTAAGATATGAACATAACCTAAATTTAATCAAAGCAATTCATGAAAACCAAGGAAGGTAAATTTTTAAAGACCCATTCTATGATTCTTTCAAAGAATACTACTACCCTGAGACAGTTTTAAAGACAGTCTTCTTGTGAAATTTTGAAATCTTTTCAAATAATTCCAGGAGCACTAGAATCATGTAAGGAAAGAGCATTTGTATATTTTTCTCTGTAGGATATGGTTCTGACAGACCACAGAGGAGATCAAACTAGTCAGAAGATATGAAAATAAAGTGAAATGTAGCTGGTAATAATTATACTGAGAAGCACAATCTTTTTATTTTCAAATATTGTATAGAGACTAACCTTTTTCTTTACCATGATTAAAAGACACATTCAGGTCAGAAAAATGATGTCACTGCTTTCAGAGTTTTGTATTGACTGAAGCCCTTCACTTAAAATAGCTTCTATCAGCTGGTTCTTTAATGGAACCAAGGCACATTCTGCCCAACCCCTACCACCACCCCCAGCAAAAACAAACCCGAGACTCCACTACTACGATTGAGCACAATCCGGAAACATCACCTTCTGCTTTATCTTTAACGTAGCGACATATTTCTCATTGTTTCACTGAACACCGCTTAGAGACCCTGAACTTCAAATTCATAAAGAGTCTATAGAAACCATCCGAGAACCACATTTTGGGGCGTTACGTACTCAAAAGCCTCTCTCTTTTTTTTTTTAAAGAGTTCATCCTCATTCTTCAAAAGGATCAAAGTCAACAATGCGTGTAAAAGGAAAAGTAATTTTCAAAAAAGTTCGGCCTCGAAAACACAAGTATCTCAGTGCTTGGGGTTCCCTCGGCTCAAAAGAAAACAAGAAAAGAAAAAAAATTTACTAGCATTGCCGTCCTTTCTACACGCGTCTCTTAAAATGGTCCTTGGAAGTCCCTTGGGAGAATGAGATCCATCTATCCAAGTATGCTAATGCCCACGAAGACGGCAAAAACGATATTCTAAAGCTCAAAAAATTCAAAAAGGAATTAACTTCTGCGCAAGCCCTGAGTCTCCTCCAGGTCTGTGACGCCCGGCTGGTGGGACTGCGCCGCGCGAGTCCAGGCGCAGAGCCGCTGGGGACGAGGGCGCAGGGCGAGCGCACGACTAATTAAAGGAGCTATCTGAGTTATAAAAATACAAAAAACCCCAAAACCCCCCGTCTCCACCAAACCAATCCGTTACCTAGCCTCACCGTCCCCACCACTCCCGCTCCCCGACACGCAGAAAACACCAAGGGAGACGGGCGGGGGAGCGCGAGCCCAGAAAAGGAAGTGAGAAGAGACGCGCCTGTGACACAAAATGGAGAAGGAGGAACCGAGATGGGAAAGAAAAGAAGGAAAAGCGGGGAAGGAGATGGTTGAGCAGAAAAGCAAAGGGGTGACGGGGTAGCGATTAGGGCAGAAGAGCCGAGGGGCGGTGGGGCGTGAAAGGACAACAAACAGTTGACCAAGGAAGAGACGGAGGAGAAAAGAAAGACGTCCTAGAGGCCGAGGCTCCATTTTCAGCAGCGCCATTTCGCTTTTCCTTTCGCCGCGTTTTGTTTGGTTTTGTTTGCAGCGGGTGGACCGGCGCCAGCGCGTTTCTGCAGCTTCAGCAGCTTTGCTCCGGCAGACGGGGAGGCACGCAGGGCCCGCGCGGCCCCCTCCCCGCTCCGGACGTCCAGCGCACCCCCCACTCCTGCTGGTGGCGGGGCGGCCTCCCTCCTCGGCCCCCGGCCCGAGGGGGGCCGACCCGAACCCCCGGGGCCCGCAGAGCTCTCCAGTTCCCCCCGCGGGGTTGGCGGCGGGCGCGTGCCGCAAAGGGATGGGGTAATCGAGAAGCGTCGAGGAAAGAAACTGAAAAAGACTGACTGCACCCGAGGCGGGGAGGGAGGGGCGCGCAGTGACCCGGGAGCCAGGAGGGGTGCCGGAACCTAGACCTTTCCCAGAATAGCTGGGGGTCCCGCCCGCATTTGGCCTCGGGTCAAGAGACCCACGGAGCACCTCCACCTGCACCCTGCGACGGGGGTGGCGCGGCCTCGTTCGCGCGCTCCCGCCGGGGCCACGTCTCCGGCCCACCCGGAGCCCCGCTGCCCGAGGCGGCGCCGGGCCCAGGCCTCCAGGCCTGTCCCCGCAGCCGGAAGAACGGCTGCGACCGGGCTCGGCCCGGAACCTCAGGCGGGCCCGGGAGAAACGATGGCTCAGAGCCAGCCTCTGGGCGCCCGTCCGGGAGGCGGCCGGGACGCCGATCTGCGCGGTGGGAGTCCCAGGGATTTTCGGCGCGGAGATGTCCCGAAGCTCCTGCGGGGTTAAATTCTGGGGCAATGGGAGGCTCTTTAGGAAACAGAAAGTGAGGTTTTCTCACCCCCGACCTTCAACTGCTGGTTTCCGTCGACTGACAGTGTCCATTGCAAGAGTGGCCAACGCGCCCCGGGTAGATTCCCTTCGTCCCCTCTCCTTGTTTCTTCACTTGCACTTGACAGTGTCCTTCGCTCAAAGCGACGTCCTTGCCGGCGCTAGAGAAGCCCCCTCAGCGCTAGCTCCACTGACGAACCTCTGGGGACAAAGTCGGGGGGGCGGCGGGAGACGCGAGGCCGCGCGTCGGGAGCTGCGGCCGGTCTCGCCCAGCTCCCAGCACTAACCCGTGAGGGGCGGCCGAGGAGACACCGCGGCCACACGCGCCGTCGGGTTCCGCGCTGCGCAGCGCTGCGGGCCAGGACCGCCACCTCCGGCTTCCCGGGCCCTCCTTCCTTCCCGGCGCAGGAGTGTGGTGGCTTGAGTCTGGAAGCGACGGCTTCCACAGGCCGGTGGAGCGGAGCCCGTGAAAGTGTGGACTGGGGATCACTGCAATGGTAACCGAACCCCACAGTGTCCCAGGACGTCTTGGTCAGCGCTTCCTTGGTTTTGCACCTGGAAAACAAACGTCTTCACTCCTGTGCGCCCCGGTTCACTGCGTCCTCTTTCCGTGGTCAGCTCTAACCACAGAGCACTGTCCGTGCCACCAGCCCCTGGAATGCTCGGATAACTCAGACCCTGCAGTATATCAGACGCACCACCCAAACTCGGCGCCTTCGAAGATCCTCGAATGCGAGCCGCCGGGCCCTTGAATACGCTCGCTCCGTCCGCCACGCACGCGCAGGCTCACCTGCCGCTTTGCCTAGGACCTTGGAACTCCGCGAATTTCTCACTACTTCTACATTAGCCGGCCTTTAAATTTTGAAGTCACATTTAGGCTATTTCCAATTGTTGATCCTTTATATAAATAGTTTTTCAGATTACAGATTTCCACAAGGAAAACATCTCTTTCCCAAACGAGGGGTGGGGTGGGGTGGGGTGGGGTTGGGAAACCAATCCAGTTTCTTGTATTCTTCTAGTAGAAAAGTTGCATTAAAATGCAGGCTTAGATTTACTTCAGGATTAAATTCTTTTCCAAAAGAGAAAGCTCATGGCTAGCTTCTAACTTTACTCTTGACATCTTTAGGTAAGGTGATCTTCTTCTTGTGTTTTTTGTGACTTTCAAAGACAAGCAGATCAATGCTAAAGTTCAAACTCAGCTATCTGTGATGGTTTTAGAAGATTCTACAAAATTAAGACGTAAAAAGTATAGAAAAGCTATAAGGCCTAGTTCACAAATAACACTGCACTTCAGTTTCTGAAACAGAAAGGACTGTAGGAGATTTTAAACATTTTAAAAATTAAAGTATTCCAGTCTGGAACACTTATCATCTGACAGTATATGAAATTTACATTGAGCATTGTCCATAAGTCTCATGTTTATATTGTTTCTTGGATTTACTCAAGTTTTTGTTGCTTCCCTCTTTTGTGGGAAAGTTTATAATTTTAACTCACCATGTTTCTGTTAACTTAATCATGATTTTTCTTTTTAAGTGCAAACTCTAAAGCCATTTAGAAAGGATATTTTATGGCAGCCAAATACAAGAGCAAATAAAAAAATAACTCTCTCATGCTCAAGGATCACTTCCTTCAGAAATAAAAGTTGAAAGTTGTAGCTTGATAGCTACTCTGTCCACTCTTAAATCTAGCCACTGAATGCAACTGATTAGGTATTAAGGCCTACTTTCTGTTTGTTTTTTTGTTTAACATTCCAAAGCATTTATTAAACTCAAGAGAAACCTGGGTTTCTTTTCATAAGTTCATGTACTGATTAATTTTCATTGCGTTAAGGTACTCATGTGAATTTCATGTGTTAAATGGTGCAAAGTAGTGTGCAATTAAACAAAAAAAAGCATCTCTATTGGATAGATTTACCCTGAAAAAAAACATACAGTCACTGTCTTAGAATTAAAAGAAGAGGCAAATTTTAAGTACAACCCTTATGTTTGATTCAAAATCTATTTAGAAAAATAGTATATATAAATTACCTTCAGAACAAATTTTTGGCAAGATAGTTCTTAGGAATGAAAAAAACTAAATCCAAAATGTCCAATATATGATAGTCAACTTATACAAAATTTTTGCAAAACTTAACATTACCTACTGGTGTTTTTCTCTCTCAAAATCTCAATATTGGTAATTTATTAAATGCTTTTAAGGCTCTTCTTTATGTTTAGAATCACCTGCTTTGTTATAGCATAAGTCATAATTCCTTCAACCCACTGAAATATGTTGTACAATTTTTACATTTTGAAGTACATTTTTACTACTAGATATTGCACATGGAATACATTCAAGTATTTGATTCTAATAAGAAACAAATGTAAATGCCTAAAATAAAGTATGTACAATCACAGGAAATAGCAAAGAAAATAACTTCATTTTTCTATAATTCTACTGTCATTTTAAGAACAGTCAGTTAAAAACATGAAGTAAGTTATTTGCTAAGACCTTATTTTTTTACTAAAATACGTAAAAGTTTGCTAAGATTTTATTTTTGTACTAAAATATTAAAAAGTAATACAGTTTATATTCTTTAGCAATCACTTCCCAATCCATTGCTTTGTTAATTACTCTTTTGATTATGTCTACTGGATACCAAGCATGATCAAACACTTAGATAATGAAATGTCTTAAAATTTCCCCTGTTACTGTTTAATGTTGTTTCTTAATTGTTTTATGTGAAATGTAGTTAAAAGCTTTTAACAACTTTTGAACATAAAATTAAGATGAACCCTTGCACTCATTTATCAAATATATAGAATTTATTGAAGTTCAAGGTCATCTGAACAATGAATATGTTGAACATAAATATTGAAATACAGCAAGTTCAAAAGTTATAACTCTTTACATTAAATGGAAATTTAGGAATAGTGTTCCTTTTATTTTACTATGTCTTGCTTTAAGAGGGCTGTATATGATACCAAAATATTCTAAGAAAAGTGCATGTAGTGCTGATGGTGGTTGCAGGGATGGTGATGGGAGTTACTGAGGTAATCTTACTGCTTTTTAAAAATCTACATTTGTTTGAAAACATTTTTGTTTGTTTTCAGCTAAATATCTGGCAATGTGTTCAGTGCCTCAATTTCTCAAATAATTGTAAAGATCTAAAAATAACAGAGTAAAAGAATGTTGATCAGCTAACATATTATAGTTTTCATGTGACAATAAAAATTGCATATAAGCCACTGATCTTAAGTGGTATTAATGAAAATTCTACAAATAATACAGAAAAGTGGCATAATTGTATTACTGAATTAAAAATTATTACTACAATAAATGGAATGTTTTATAAAAGTAAGTAATATTTTCAGTGGTTTTAACACATTTTCTTATATTTTCATTTTCATATATTGTTTTAAATTCTTCACTTCAGTACAAGTGTTCTGAACAGACTTGTTTTTAAACATATAGAATACTCTGCTGATTTCATACTTTGAGAATAATCAGAAACTACTAGAATTCTTGGTTACTAATAATGGTCTAAACGCAATGATAACAGAATTTCATAAATCAATTATATGCTCCATTTGAAGATTATAAAGCATAATTAACTTACTTGACACTAACACAAACAATGTTTTGTTTCTTCATAGAACAGGCTATGAGCTGTTTTCAGTTATTGCAGTTAAATGCTGTCCTCTAAAATTAACGAATGAACATTTGCATACTGTACATTGTACTGTAGGCAATTTAGACTGGGGCTACCAAATTGTTTTTCTAATGATATTTTTCCTACTTACATAATTTATTTTCTGCTGAGGAATTAGCGATTACCTAATTCTTTTTTAAATTAACTAACTTAGTGGGGGGAAAAACAGCTAAAGTAAGGTATCCTTATGAACACTGTGAAATAAAATCAATCATTTGAAATGGCATCTAGAGATTGTCATTTTAATTCTTTATTTAGAATACTTAGCATAAGATTTATGTTGTAACTTTTACCATGCTCTTCCTTACAAAGATGCAGGAAAAATAGAAACCAATACATAGATGATTAAAATAAACTAGTTTCTGGTTCTATAAAACAAAAGAGTTTTATGAGTAGAGGGGATGGTGCAGAATTCTTGCCTGCCTTTGTCACACGTGGGGTAGACAAATTGCCAGTTGGTACAGTTTCAAGAGCAATTGCAAGGAGTGTATCCTTCTAAAATACTTCTGTTACCCATTTATTGACCCTTTCATATTTTTAGCTTAGATGTTATAATGTAGGTAAAATCCAACTAATAGTAACAAAACTCATATTTTCACATGTTATCAATAATTTATACCTTTGAATAAGTGTCAGAGCTAATGCTGGTGCATGGAAGAAAAAGTCTCATGACACTGAGTAATTAATATGAATAGAGAGAGAACTTGAGGAGGTGGAAGGGGCAGAAAGAGGGCTAAGGATAGAAAATTGTTGAGGAACAGAGATAAACATTTTGTCCACAATTTTGCCTGGTCAAAAGTAACTGATGTGACTAAGTCCCATTTAAAATAGCATTTAATAATCTATAATCTGCTTTGTTTTATACCATTGCTTAGATCTGGGCACTTAAGTTATCAGTGTAGGATACATGGGGAAAAATGAATGAATTAGAGACTTCAGGTGCAAACTTAACTTGAATGTAAAATGCTCATATCATTAAAGTCACATGTATAAAATAGAAAATGAAATATTGGTTGGGTTATGTATTTGACAACCAGATAATTTATCTGTCCACATAAGTCAAATTAACTAGATGATTGCTAAATTTCAGCTTTACTGTGATCTGTATTCATATATATCATGACAAAAGACAGTCTTTTAAATAATTTTTGTAGATCTTAGGGTTTTTTTAATTGGCTATGTTAATGACAAATTTCATTCTGTGAAGAAATTAGAACATGTGTCAATTCAAAATCAATTGTTAGGAAAGCCAAACAATCATGTAATGATTTAGTTATTTAAAATATAAACTGTACTTAGACTTTTTTTTTCTCACAATCTGGTTCCAATCAGTCAAGATTCTATCCTAAAAACAGTATTTACCAGTTTTCGGGCAATTTCCAAACAAATGAAGATGAATGAATCATCAATAATTAAGTTTGGCACCCTAATTTAAAGTAAAAAATGAATTGTTGGTCAAAATGCTAATGATATAAAAGTGAAATTCATTGTATCCCTTGTTCTTAAATATTGAACAAATATCAACTAATTACTGAATTACCCAACACCAAAAAATATTAAAATATAATTTCTAGCTGATTTGTCATCCCTATAAT